TACAGGATGGGGGTCCACCTAATGTTTAGCTCATGTCGCTAAATGATTTAGAGTACAGTCAGCCGTCAACACAGGTTCCCCATACCCAGCTCGAGGGGTCTCTCGAAAACAGTGCCCATATCATGTTCCATCTGAGTCTCCATCATTCGGGATATATTATCTCTTTATCATTACCATTATTATTATTTTTTTTTAATTATTCTTGTTATTCATTATTCTTATTGCCATTTTTATTATTCCATTTTTTATTATTCGTCTTATTAACGATTACTAATTACTTATTCTTATTCTTGTTGTTATTTATTGTCATTGTTGTTTATTTGTCCTATTGTTGTCTATCATTACTATGGTTATCATTTACTATTATTATCATTGCCATTACTTTTTCTATTTCTTATTATTGTTCTTATCTTTATTGTTAGTATCATTATTGTTATTCTTATTCCTGCTGTTGCTACTATAAGGTCAAGACGGCACTTCTTGATTCTTCGAGATCGCAGCGGCCAGTACCTGTTGCAAGACGTGGGAAGTACGACTGGAACGTTCCTCATGGTACCTGGGCCAGGGTTTAGGGGTTTAGGGTNNAATGAGACTTCTTGCTTAAAGCAAGTGACCGGGAAGTCGCTTTCCCAGCAGAGGCTTCGCAGGCTGGATGCAAGGGGGTTTAGCGTTACCTGCCATGTGCCAATTTAAGAGTGTTACTCTTCCGGCTAATCTAGCAGAGTCCGGAGCAAAGACATTACCAAAGCCTCAAAACTAGCATCCTATGGTCGCAATAGGGTAGTAGAGTCCTCATTTTGGGGTTGGGTACATCCACATTCTTTATACTGGAGCAGCAATTCAAGTTGGAGGCATTCAATGAACGTGCCAACACAGCTCAGAACCATATGAGAAGTGCTGCTAACTGTAAACAGCATGTCGGGTCATGAAGCCCTTGGGTCCCGAAGCCCAGAAGGAATGCACGCTGGAAGCTTGTAGTCCTTGTCTGCGCACATGATGAGGTTCCGAAACCAGAAGCCCTAACCCTTAAGACCCAAACCCTAAACTCGAACTGAACTAAACCAGGGACCCTTTTTCATGCAGAAGGAAACGGGCCCTTCAGAACAGGACTTGGAACCTTTCCCTTGGGTGCTGCTAGTAAGTTACTGTTACCATAGCCTGGATTCATAGCAAATGATACGATGTTTTATGATATAACTTACGTTGAGTTCCCAGACATCAACCCAGTACCAGGTGAGTAGTATCTTATTTGTATAGAGTAAGATTATATCCTCCTTTCGGGGTATAGTACTGTTATAAGGACTATTTAGTGCCCATTAAGTTGAATATGGGGTATCTAGGGATCTTATTACAATATACCTTGCTAGGTTCAACCACCAAAAAAACGCAACTCAGGTGCGGGAAGAGTTGCCTTTGGACCATCAGATGATCATCCAGCGGCTCTGACTGCAAAGTGATTTCTGGTGGGGTTTCCCAAGACTAGGGGTACCTTTAAAGGGGGATATAGGGGTTATAGGGGTATATAGAGATACGTAGGGATTTATAGGGTTTAGGGTTTCCCAGACTTAGGGGTACGTTTGTACGGGTCCCCATATTAAGGAGTATAATATTTGGGGTCTATATTGGGGCCCCCTTGTTTGGGAAATTATCATTTTGGGTAAAAGCTGTTCATGTGGTTGCTTGTTAACCAGGCGTGGTAGTACCGATTCCAACACGACTGGTTTCAAAGTTCTCTGTATTGTTTGAGTATCAAGACTAGTGACAGCTTGTGGCATGGATTCCGTAGACTAAGCCTTAAACCACAAAAGCCAAAACCCTAAAACCTGAAACCACAAAACGTCAAAAATCCTTGAACCCCGAACCACCAAAATCCCGAAACCACTGAAGCCTTCACCCGGCAACTCACAGATTATGTGGGGGCTATCTAGGGACTTCGGGCAGGGCCCATGGTAGTCACAGGCTTGGGGGGCTTAACATGGGCACCACCTAGGGTTCAGGCTTTTAGGGGTTTAGGGGGGTTAGGTTTTTGTCTTTTGTTGAACAAGTACCAAGATGGCGGTCCGAGTCTCCCTGTAGAATTATGGAAAAGAGTACCTCACATGAGCCACTGTCAACGTTAGCCTTGCCAAGTGGCCATTAAGTGTGGACATAGGGTCCCTCATGTAGTTTCGTATAGTCCTGAATATAATCCCCATTGTGGAACCCATGTCCATTCAATCAGGTCCGTTCAATCATCTGGAAATATTATTGGCTGCAACTCACATAGACCTCAAAATGCTACTGGTAATCATGTAGGCCCTGTATCTCATAATCCGTACATATGTGCAACCGCTACACAAACCCAGTTTATATTCCTTGTTCCATGTTCTTTTCCATCAGATTTTCCGTTACTGGACTAACAAGTATCTAAGCCCATATGAACTATAGTCTAAACTCCGTAAAGGGGGTATATATAGGGGATTATATAGGGGACTACTATAAGGGCTATTAAGGGGGATACTAGGAGTTTAGACAATGGCTCATATAGTTGCTACATGGCGGATACGGAGCCAGGGCCACCGGTTTGCTGCCATAGCCCAAGAAAGATACAGCATGAAGATATTCATGGGTATCCCGGAGGTTCATACATGAGCACAGCTTATGGGCAACCTTCACCCTCTAAACCCCTAAACCTAAACCCTATAGTAGTTTCCATTTTCTGTTCCATTGTCCCAACATAACCCCAATATTACCCCAATGGGTTAAGTTAGTGGGACTCGGGATCCCTTCTAGTCCTTCCAAGTAGCCCTTGAGTTCCAGCGCTTGGTAAGAAAGACAGAGAGAGAGAGAGCTTAGTGAAAAAAGGCGTTAGAGGTTTGACAAAGATGTTTACGGCGAGGGCACTCGCGCAAGACTGTCCCCAAACTAACATGAAGGCTGAAAAGGGGCCTTACGACTGCTGCGTTTTGTTCTTTTTACTTTCACTCTGCTTGCGTAGCTCTGTGTGGGTGGCCAGGTCTGTAGTACCTTGTGGCTCCTATTGGGTAGTATCCTATTTGGGGATACTATGGTACCCAATGTAGAGTAAGATTATAGCCTCCTTTGGGGGTATAGTACCTTATATAAGGAATATTATCTTACTAGGTTTAACCACCAAAGAAACGCTACTCTATTGTCTTTTTGCCTCGACTTACTGGACGCTGCAGCGTCTGCATAGCGCTTCGCATGTTAGATGTTAAGTCCTAAGGCCCAAACCATTTGCCGTGCCAGCAATGCGATGCACTTGTTGAAGTCAAATCTCAAAATCTAAGCCCTCAAATCCTATGAACCCTAAACCCAGCAATTAAATCTTGATTCTTAAGCCTTGAAAGTCAATCCTGCACCCTAAGCCTGAACACGGAATCCAGAAAAATTGTACTTTTCATAGTTGCCATAAATTCTGGTCCTTATACCCCTATGGTCCCTCTTATCCGGAACGTCTAATGTTTGGAAACCCTAGCCCCTTTACAGCACTAAATTCTCATGTCCATTCAAGTTTACATGTTCTTTTAGCATGATTCTCCAGCATTGGGCTTATATGTTTCCCTAAACCCTAAACTCCATACATTCAATAATAGTTTAAATAGTTCGCCTTTTCCTTTGCACTGCCGCTGATAGAGGGGCCAGTGTGTGTGCACCTTCAATACCCCTATGTAATTCTATAATCCCAATACCCCTAAATATCCCTGTACACCCCCTTATCCCCACCATACATGCCGACATGACCCCTGCACCTTATTATACACCCCTTCATACCCTTATAAAACCTTACAACCCTATATAATGCCAAATATCCCAATATATATCCCCCTATGCCCTAAACCCACCCCTCCCCCACCCTACTGAGGTTGGGCACTACAGAGCTGACAGTGCACATAGACGCTCGCCAACCCTTGAAAGGGTTGCTTTTGGGATTACTACATGAGCTTCTGTCAGTATTCGCCTTACTAAGGGACCCTGAACAGTGGACATAGCGGTCCCTCTTGTAGTTTGGTGTAGGCGTTAAAATTAATCCCTAAGATACTCTAACTCCTAAGAAGGAGCCCGTGTCCTTTTAAATTTGTAGGAAATATTGACTGTAGCTCACATCGGGTTATATAGTGTAATGTAGCGGGGCTAGATAAGATTGTATCGTGTTGTGCAGCTCAGGGCCTAGGGTTTACGGTTTTCCGGGGTTGGGAACTGGCTCAAGACTTGCAACTTCAAGATCTTTGAGCCAGCAATGTCTTGAGGCTCGTTGGCGCTTTGGGATGTGGGGACAAGGCGACAAGGCGTCAAGGGTTTTGTCTTCTTGTCGCCATAGAGTTGGGGAGTCGGGCAAAGTATTCCCTTTCAAAGCATCTTTCTCCGCCTTCAGGAAGAAGGTGTGCAACGCAGAGATCCCAACATGTGAGAATGCTCTATGCGGCCTTACAACGCGCAACCCACGCAGGACACCTGGACAATCCCAACAAATTCCACGGAACCCTCTGATTCCAGAACCCCTAAGGAAGGAGACTGTTGCACGCTGGTCGCGACTGAGGGCCCTGACAAGGACGCATGAGAAAGTCAGAGGGAAGCTTGAGTTCGTCAGGTTGCTGTCAACCACCTAGCATGAGCAAGCTCCGAATTGGCCGAAGGGACGCGAACGGGTAATAGTTTGGACCCGCGAGATTCCTAAAAGAAATGAGCATGCCTGCTCCATTTATCCCAGCTCCATACCCTACCACCTGCTGCGCAGGATTTTATGAATTGCCTAGGATCCTATACACGTGCCGTCACGATCTCCTTGAAAAGAAGGAAAGGCAAAGGCTGATACCCCCAGTAAGCTGGATCATGGGTAGTGCTCTGCTATGATTTATTAGTATATAGTAAAATATACTACAATATATTACACTCTATGATAGTATACTACAATATATTACACTCTATGATGATCTACTATAGTAATCTCCGCAGAAGGTTCCCCGAACGTTTGTTTTTTGCTTGGCACCTGTAGCCTGGTGCATGGGTCCCAGAGAGGACATCAGCGCCATGGTCCCTCCGCAGGGGCTTTTTGTGGGGAGGGAGGCAGGCTGTTTGTAGTAGTTGGCCCTCTCGACTCTTCTTACTGGTTCTTAGTAGGGAATATGGGAATACATTATATATGTGGGATTATATGGGGATTATATTCCCTGATTGCCTACTAGGAACCAGGAAGTCTTCAGGGTGTAGGGTTTTAGGGCTTAGGGTACTTCAGGTCAAGAGCATGAGGCACGACACATAATCACCAGCAAGCATTGGGATGATGTCATGACCTTGTATACTGCCCGCGGGAACCTGCTGCCGCTGCAAGGCTGGAAATGGGCTTTGCATCAGAGACCCTCAGATCTCTGCGTTTCATTGTGAGGCAGGAGTTACCGTTAGCAGCCCTGTGGATGTCAAATTAAGTCGCGCGCATCAGTGCTTGCTTCTTTGGCCTTTGGCAGGTTCGCCCAGCCCCAGATCATGGTTTCGTCTTAGATGACAAGTACTCAACAAACCGTACCTGGCTGCGTTTGGCCGCCGACGGCACCTCGGCAAAAAATCCCTGATTGTGGTATTCCGATGGATGGATTCGGCGCTAAGAACCAGGCTTGGACAAAATGTTTGGAATGCCTCTTGTGCATTGTTTTGCTGTCCCATCCTCAGGTCAGCCATCAAAGCGGTACTTGCTTCGAATTGGTGATCTCTTCAAAGTTGGCTCGACGCTTTTCCACGCACTTGGGCGCAAACAGAGGATTCCACGATGGCTTTAACGTGGCATCAACATGCACAAGAGCTGTGCGATAGTTGCGAATATTCCGACCAGCGGCTTTAATCAACAGCTTGTTGCGATGTAACGAGCCGAGGTGGTGGAGCCTCCGCCAGTGGAAGAAACTGCCATAAGTTTAGCAAAGTTGTACCCTTTTCAGTAAGGGCCCCGGTTTTCCCCTTTTTCTCCCCCCTTCCAAGGGGGGTGGGGGGGTGGGGCGGAACGTCAAAGAACGTCCTCTTCACCGCTGTCTAGGTTCTGAGAGACCTGGGGATGGATTTGGGGGTTTAGGGTTTAGGACCCCAAAGTCACATTGCATTCAAGATGGTCTTCCAACATAAGCCTGAAACTTCTTAGCTGCCACCGCAAAAATCTGCAATAAAGGCAGTGCAGCATTACCTATGTTGAGCCTTACTAGCAATTCGGGGAGGAAGTGTGGTAGGAGCTGTTGGAGGGAAGCTAGGAGCAGCAGCGGTAGAGCAACTAAAACTCAGGATTGTAGAGTTGAAGGGGAGGATTCGATTATAAGAATCTTCTAATAACCCCAACTCTAACTCTAAACCCAAAGCCCTCAACCCACAGCACACTGTTGTCGTTACTTGCGTGCCCCAGCATTCCAGAGACAGGCCGGCTGTTTGAAAAACGTTGGTTCTTGCAACAAACATGTCATGGTTCCGGGAGTAGATAGCGACCCTAGACTTCAGAACAGCGATGCCTACCCTAATAACATCGGTAACCTAGTGCTACATAATGGTTTGGGCTTTGGGGTTTAGGGTTATCCCATATCTTCTCCACCATTGCTGTTCGTAAAGCAAGTGAAGTTACCAGTATATGGATGTTTAGAGAGTAATGCGGCTTTCCAAGCAACGTCCACAACAAAGCCCTAAACGCCCTAAACCCCTCAATCCCTCAGCCCTAAGTCCTCAAACCTTAAACCCTCTGCCCCTAGTCCCTAAACCCTGATGAAGTTTTGGGGTTTAAGGTTTAGGGTTTAGGGCTACTAATCCGTAAAGGCTCAACCCTTAAATTAGATGCTCAGGACATTCCCGGTGAGGCCCTGCCTACCAGTTTGGATCGACTGGACCACACGCGCTTTCCCACCTCGCCGAGCTCGGTGGAAGAGCCGGACCTCAGCGACTCGGCTTTACAGGGGGGGGGGTTAGGGCTTAGGGTTTAGGGTTGAGAGTTTAGCCTCTTGCCTTGTGGGACTCCTGGGCTACTAAACGGGTAGGGATCCTACTTCAAGGCAACAAGAGGGCTAAGCCTACTGGTTCTCAGTAGGCAACAAGGGAATATATGATTTAGGGTTTAGGGTGTTTAGGGATTAATAGTTGTCATGTAGGGAGTACCGCGCGGAGAGCAAAGCCTCAAAAGGAAGGAGTAACTGAGAGAAATATCGGCAGCAGGTCGACGGCCATCCGAATGACCGAGAAAGTAAACCAAGACCGTCGAAGGGATCTAGCAAAAGCCTCTTCATTTCATAGCCATAATAGTTTCCGAGCTTTTCTTAGGAACTTACACGCCGGATCCAGTTGAGGGCCTGGGATGAGGGATCGCGTTGCGAAGTTGCGACTTAGCAATACCAGTGCTGCCGGAATTCTCACTCGCGGCGCATTCATGTGTCCTACGTTATTTGAAATAACATGTGCCAAAAAATCAAGCTCAACGCACCACTGTCCGACCCTTGTTGCTTGATGCTTCCAAGCCATTCCGAGGCGATGACGTGGAAGCCGCTGTGCCGTCGGCAATACCCAGTGCGTCTGGGCTTGGTCAGGGCTTAGGGTTTAGGGTTTCCAGCCCTAAGCCATATGGGGTAGATGTGAAAATGGTTTTTGAGCTTGAAACAGCCTTTTCTGTACATGAGGCAGATGTGGCCAAACAATTTGGACTCCAAACGTGCCCCTCCTCTTTACGGTAATGCAGAGAACGAATGTCAATAAACACACCTGAAGCATTTGCTTCTCCTTCATGCTGCTCGTTTGACAGTTAGCAAAAGGTCCTGACATTCATAATTCCCCTCCCCCTATTCCCATCATGAAATAGTACGTGCACGATTTTGCGTGTATTATCATGGCGACGACATATTGTTACGCGAGGGTGTTAATTGATGGAAGTCAATATTACATGTACCTCGCAGAGGGCCCTGCATGAAAGTTCGCCAGACAGAGTCCCTCTCAGGGAGTTGCAAGGGGTTGCCAGGGCTACATAAAGCTATATAGGGTTGGGGTAAAGAACACGCAATGGAGATTGGGGTTATAAATATACTGGTTTATGATGGTTTATGGGGTGGCGTTTTCGCAAGATTAGGTGCCCCGTTTGGGAGTTCTTTTAATATGATTTATGTATGCTGCCCCCTCATTTATGGAAAGACCCATTTCATGCTGGGGATGATGAATCACAGCAATAATCAACTGCGCACGATAGTGGGCCATGTGCTCAGAAGCCTTTATCTATCTCAGACATCGGAATGTATAGCACTAGAAGGAACAGAGCCCTACATTCTTCATATGTGCCTCACAAGGTCCCTTTTTACGTCCCTGACACTTTCACTTTCGCTCTTGCAGAAAGGAAGGTATAGGGTATGGTTCATGTGGGCTCTCGTCAAACAATCGTCTTCAGAAGGAACCCCCTAAACCCTAAAGCCTGAACAATGAATCCTGCAAAATACAACTCTTGGTACGAAACCGAGCTCTCATGATCGGACGTCTGAGCCTGGGATCTGGCCTTTGAAGTCCAGGGGCAAAAAGTACGGAAGCATACATTCAGGGGCGTGCCCCAACAGGGGACGTGAACTTGAACCCACAAACCCAAAACCCTAAGCCAGCCTAAACCCTGAACTCTCCGAGGAATCGCCCCTGAGATGGGAGCCTTTGCTGGAGGGTGACGCGAGGCTGAAGCCACGTGGGTCTTGCATTTTTTTCCTTGCTCTTTGGGGTAAGGGTCCGAGGTCTTGGTACAGGGCTTCGCGGTAGTATGAAAGAGGAACGACGGCAATCGTGGTTTGCCGCAATCTATTGCAATGAGTTCCTTAGATGAAGCCCATCGCAGCCCGGTAGCTGAGCAGTGTTTCCATGCTGCTTCCTAACTGGGTTTACGATACAGGTGCGGTTATGGCCCATCATGTGCTAAATCAAGGGTCTAGTTGGGGGTTTGGTTATCGAAATCCACATCTTAAACGGAGTCTTCCCGCCTTCCAACTACTGTAAGCATCCACACCGACGCACGCAGTGCAATCTGAAACTTGAAGCCCCCCAACCCCTAAAGCACATTCAGCTCGAGACCCTAAGCCTCAACCCATTACGTCCCTGATTGGCCAGCCCCCAACCCAGTAATCGCGGTAAAAATGGGCATATGGTAGTTTGAGACGGTAGTTGGACACAAATATAGACCTCAAATACTATACTCCTTATCATGGGGACCCTCAAAAGGTACCTACCGTTTAGGGAAACGCTAAACCCTATAAATCCCTATGTATCCCTAAAACAACTTTGCATACCCCCTAGACTCAACAACAAGGACCCTAATGCAGTCACAATTCAGTGGGTGCAGGCCTGGCCTAAACCCTAAACCTTGAGCCACGAAACCCTTAAAATCTAAACCCCAAACCCCTAAACCTAAACCCCAAATCCTAGAACCTGATCCCTAAATCCGGTCAGGCCGTCACTCTCTCCTGAAGAGTATGCCAGACGACTGACGTCTTCTCGCCGGCGGATGGCTGAAGGCTTGGCATACCCAACCAGGTTTAGGGCTTATAAGGTTTAGGGTTTAGGGCATCTGGGGGGTTCCAAAAGCAGGTTTCCGTTCCAGGGGGTCTCTCTAAGAAGGCTCAGCAAGGATTGTTATTTTTGTGATCCAGCTTCCGGAAACTATCATCTGGACCTCCAGAGTTGCATACAGAATTGCATGTGATTTATTCAGGTTACTGGCAACTATTCGGAAGCGTTGGCACATATGTTTCAAAATCAAAGCTGCTCCAGGTAAGTATTTGCGGCTACCGTATACCCATATAAACCCCAAAATCATGTAGAATAATAGCATTTTGCTGGGCTTTTTGCCAGATTATTTCACGTACTTTTGGGGTCCGGGTAGGAGAATGTTGTCTATTGTGTTACCCAGAGAAGGCCTACACCTTGTTATCATGATGCTAAAGGGCCCATCCTTCCGAAAACCTCGTACATGGCGAGTGTTTATCTTTTATGATCTACCTGAGATAAATGCCAGTTGATGACTATTTTTTCGAGATTTGTACATCACCTTGATACTTGCCCATTATTTTGGGCAGCTCGGCCATGTCTGACCTAGGCATGCTGCCAAAAGGCCTAAGAGACCCTCATGTTTTAAGACATGTACGCAATGCCCAGAAGCCGTATTTTCAGATTATAGGGGCCCTTTGTTTTTGATAGATGTGTGCCTCACGTCTGACCCGCAAGCCCGGTGCCACGAGGCTCTGCCAGAAGAGCTGCAGGAACGGCCAATGACCTCCAAGGAAGCCAGGACCTCCGTTCACTGGTCTCCTGTCGGGAGATAATTGTATTGCTGTTCCTTGTTAAGACAGTGCCCACGAGACATGCCCTAAAGTAGGATCTTCATGGCTCCGTTGTTCAGAGTGTCATTTCATCATGCTGATTCGACTTATGACATGCCAGGATGCTCGCGTCTTCGACATGCAGGAGAGAGAGCTCTCTTCTTTGCAGCAGCGCATGCGAAACTCGCGGGCGCAGACCGCCTACACGCTGCAGCAGCAGCGGCAAGGCGGCTTACAAGCAGTTAGGGTTTAGGGTTTTAGGGTTTAGGGTTTAGGGTTTAGGGTGATTCCAGGAAGGAAGATGGGTCCTACTTGGAGGGTCAGGGGTACTTGGTAAGTATACTTATGACCCCTGATTGTAAGCTAGAGAATGCCCCAGTACTTGCTATTATTAACCTACTTAAGAAGTTCCTCGGTGACCCTCCAAGTACGGCCCAGAAGAAGCAGTGCAAGTCTGTTTCCTAATGGCTTCTTACAACTCAACAGTCTAAAACGTACAAAGCAGCTTCCGAACTTCTTGGTGGGTTCACCATGCATGGCGCGCCTATAGCAGTGAATACAGGTCCTCAAAAGTTGCTTGTCCCAACGCTTGACTAGCCCCCTCCACTCAAAATGAACCTTCCCGCCCCCGATTGAGAACAACTAAGAAATGCTCCCCAGATGATTTAGATAATGGTAGTGCTACCAGCACTCTGAGCCCTTAGTATGCGATGGTCTGCTGACCGATGGTTATCAAGAGTAGAGTAATGTAGCGGCCGACATGGTTACCAACATCATCGTCGTAGATTCCTTGTATAATTATGGTACAGGGTATATATCTCAGATGGACTTCAACATGATATTGCTGATTGTTTAGGCCACTGCAGTACTCCAGGGCTGGAGTAGCGTAGGTAATCGACAGTGGGCAGCCGGAAGGATCCGAGCAGCGAGATGAGCGACGAGACGAAGACTTGTGCAAAATATGCTACGATGAGGTCACCTAGCTGCAGATGCAGGCAGCAAGTGGTTCATTTAGGACCCAGTCACTTGCGATGCAAAGGTCATCGACGTGGTGCTATACCCATGTGGCCACTTCATGCTATGCAGATGGTGTGCGCAGCTGGTCTCAGACTGCCCCGTCTGCAGATTTGTCATCACCGACGTCATTCGTACTTACAAGGCCTTTGGGCACTCAACAATGCTTTTGCTAAATGCTGTCGATTTCACCTTCTTTCCTGCAGGCATGAGGCGTCTTCCTCAAGAAGCGGAATCGCCGTGAAGCCTGGCCCTGTCAATGATCACAGTGTGCCCCTCGCGCCTGCAAGACAAAAAGCGCCTACACTACACCAAGTCTCAGCATTTGCGCCAAGATGTAATATGGTTTGTACGTACCTTCCCCGTGCAAGCCCTGTGCAGGCAAAAGTAGGAATTGCGCATATTAAAGCTCCATGTGTAAAAACTGCATGTAGTATTCTTGAGGGAAGATCCAACGCATGTTTGTCTTTTCGTTGATATAATCTGTTGCTCCGTTTCCACGGCCAGTAATGACATGTTGACGAGGGTCGGAGAGCTGTGTAGGCAGAACTCTAAAGCCTAAACAGCGTATCCTCTGGAATGATACTGTGCTTGCTAGGACATGTGCGCGCCTAGACCGTGCGACCTTCTTGCCATACCAACCTCATCAGAGACTGCCTGGCAGTCTGCTGATGGTGTAGACTGGAGTTTCAGAGCGTTTTCTCTAAAAGATCCAAAAGAGGGCGGCCCTGGGAATACGGTGGGGTATTCATCTTGTCGTCATCATATCGGGCCCTAAACCCTAAAGGTTTTAGGCTTTGCGGGTTAGGGTTTATGGAGCTTTGGTCAGTTGACCATGATGTGTATATATGGTGACCAATATGGTTTCTCTTTCGATGAGAGCTTAAATTCTTTACATCGTCGGATAACCCCGAGATGGCCGCAGTTTGCATTTCATTTCCACTTTCATGTGTTTCTCCATTTGGTAACGCTAAACCTGACATAGCACCTTCTAGAAGCCCTAGAACTCATTCAAATGGAACCCACTGTAGTAAGCAAACATACCTTATCGGCAACCAATTATGTAGACTTAAACCCTAAATCCCATAAACCCTAAACGCCCTAAACCCCAAACCCCCTAAACCCTAAACTCAATGTACCAGGCCGAGCTGTGCCGTCTCAGGTCCTACCGGGAGGCAGAGGGCCTCTGAGATTAGGGTTTAGGGTTCAGGGTTGACGGTTCTGGATTTAGGGTTTAGGGTTTTAGGGTTCTAGGGTTCAGTCCTGGGTTGAAAAGGGTTTAGGGTGTCAGAAATATTTAGTATCCCCTTTCGGGGTACCGCTTTCCATCTATGATTGCTTTTGCTTCTCCATTCCTCAGAAATAGAGGCTCTAAGACCCTCCTTACTTCCTTCATCCTCTGCCCTACAGAATCTGGGGGTTTCCCAAAATTA